AATAAAATAAAAAAATTATACACACACACACACACACACACTCTTTTAAAACAGATATATAACTAAGTCAAAGGGTTCTGGGAAGTCCTAAACATCAAGGATTTGAGTTGTTCGATCGTAACCTCTTGCTGTTATTTGTCTCTTTCCCCATCTCATCTCTTCCTTTCTTGTGGTTGTCTAGGTATGATACTTATTGGGTGAAATTAACTGTTGGTCGATATGGACCTGTGTTAACTAATATTTCCTCTTTAAAACTGCTTGTGTAGTTGGTCAAAGTATTTAAAACTGCTGCGCTTTTATAAGTAGAGTTGGGTGACTGCTATTGGGTTTAAGAGAAATGCGGACATCTGGTAATTGATGGAAAGTGAAACAAGAAGCTTATAATGTCTGTTCAAGAAAGTCAGCAAAAGTGCCGTTGGAGCATTCACCGGAAAGAATATAAGGGAAAAATTTGTAGCAGGCAGGCAGTGTGTGGCCCTTCATTATTAGGTGGAAGTTCCTTGAACCTCTACAATGATCATAGAGACTTTGATACCATGTGAGAATGCGAATCTGATACCCTTTAAGAATTCGATAGAGGTGATATATTGATTGCTTGATGATTTGATCAAGGCAGGGCAATAGGTATTTAAAGTTTAAACACTAGGCACATAAGATATTTGCCAATGTGGGACGATATCTAGCATAAGAATATTACTGTCTTAACACTCTATCTCTAACACTAACAGTAACCTTAACCTTCTAATTTGAATTGTTAAGAAATGGAACATATGGTAAAAAGTTTGAATGCAGACGGTATATATTTAATTTGAGTAAAGAGAATTCCTTACTATGTAAGAAGGCGAACCACAATATTTGGGCACGAGCTTTGTAATTACTCTCTCCGTCCCAGGTTTGGCGTCGCATTTAGTTGGGACATGAATTTCATTTAAGAGTTGAAGCCTTACTATTCTTTTAACTAAAGCAGGTCTAAAAGTAAAGATGACGTTAACTTTTGATAACTTTCAACGTTTAAAATAATATGAAAATTCATTATTGTAATAAGAATAACAGCTTTATTATTTCTAAATTTAAAGGTCCAAAAGTAGAGACAACATTGACTTTTTGGCAATTTCAATGTTTAGAATAAGATGGAAGTGCGCTTCTGTAATAGTAACCACAGGTGTCTAAAATAGTAGAGAAAACGTTTCTATTATTGGAAGAGGGAGACAATCTGGAACAACCCAACGTAGATGTAAGGCAGATGATTTGGCACATGAATATTTTATTAACCAGAATTCTAAAATATTTGTCTTTTACAATAACACAATTCTTAGAGTATGGTTCATACTAATGAAAGCGAACACACTCTCGCTATAGTATTTTAGTCTGTACTAATGAAAGACAAAATACTTTATGTAGATGTATATATTTTGCTAATGGAAGAGAGCACACATTCTTCTAGTTCATGATTCGAAACTTGTATCGCTGCAGTTAAGTTATAACATCTTTTTTGTTAAGTACAGTTAAGTTATAATTTATTGTAATGAATTGCTGCTATGGGGATAGGTAATGGTATCTGCCAAGGAGGATCCCGATGCCTCTCTTCCACCTGCTATAGATGGTCTTCTGAGGGTTCATAAACGTGTTGTTGATGGGCTCGAGAGTGATTCTTCTCATCCTCCTCCAGGTATACCTGGAAAGGTCTCGACAAAGCTGCTGGTGCAAGCAGCACAGGCTGGAAGTCTTATTGGAAAACAAGGGACAACTGTCAAGACCATTCAAGAAGCATCCCAGTGTATTGTTAGAGTTCTTGGAACAGGTTCTTTCCTTTGCTTTTAGATATCTCTGTTATTCAACCAAGGAGCTAGAGTTTAGCATTTTCGTCTGTGTTTTAGGGACATCCATTTTGCATTTGAGTTCTTTTGTTCTTGAACTCTGATACCCCTTCTGCGATCAACTATCTTATCTATGTGGTCTTGGTTTGTACTCTTGGCTCTATTTGAATAAATGCATGAAATTACTAGTGCCTTCTAGCTTGTTTTAAAATGACAAGGAGGGGGCGATTTTCTTGAGTTTCTTGTTCAGGAAAAAGGTTAGCTTTTAATGCAGGCAAAGTTTCAACTCAGAAATAATTCACATCAACGTTTCAGGTTCTTGTATTGATTTAGTCATTTCAATAGATCATCTGAGCCTTGGCTAGTACTCCCTGCAATGTTTCCTTGAAAACCATGCATGGTGAGTGTGTTTCTTTGTGGAGAGGAAGTTACTTTAGTATAGTAGAATAAGGAATTTAAGTGGTAATCATGTAAGAATAAAATTAATAAGAGTTTGAAGTATTTACTCAAAAAAATAATAGCAAGAGTTTGAAGCCTGTAAGTCTTTCCAACAACTAAAGAAGAGATCTAAAGGGTAATAGAAGAACTTTGGCCAAAGGCCTTTTAATGAATATTTGTCGGATCTTATCCTTTTCATTCTAGTAATAATAAATTAATAGCACGTTTAATACGTCGTAGTTTGTTTTGTATGAATTGAATCAGGTTTATAAAACTTGTTCTCATGTAAATATAATTGTGGTATCCAGATGTGGTAAATCTTTTTTGATGAAGTAAACATCGTCATTAATGGCATCAAAAGATGCAAATCGTGTAGCTATTACAAAAGATATTAGGTGAAAAAGAGATTTTGTTACTCCATACAGTGAGGCCTATGCTAGGGATAGGGAGTTACCAAAATCCAAAAAGGTGTCAGGAGAGTTTACTGGGAATAAGTTGCTACAGCTATATAAACTTAAGAATTCAGCTTTCAGGGACTGATTTGGAGTTGATATTTCATCAAAACATCTGTTTCTTTCGGCCCAAACACACCAAAATATGCAAGTAGGTATCATCCTCCAGGTTTTTCTGATGATGCTGCCAACCTTCCAAGTGCTCCAGATGCATCCTTGACACTCCCTGGCATAACCCTGCTGAGTCCAAAACGGAGATAAAGATGTTCCAGATATATACTGTCATTGTACAATGTAATCCAGATGCTGTAAATCTTGTAGTAAGTAGCAAACCAAGAGCAGAAGTTCAGGAAATTTTCTAGATCAAAGTTAAAATTTAGTACTACTAATTGAGCCTCGATCTAAATTAGTTGGGGTAACTATATAAATATTTTATACCCATTTATCTTTATTCAGGTCCATTTCATTTAAATACTAAATAATGTTCTTTTAATGCATAGTAGGGTTAACTAAAACTAGACTCTCTAGGTCCCAGCTCACTCACATTGACATAGAAATCTAATAAAAAGATGGGGAAAAAAGAAAATAATGAGTTATCTTAACCAAAGGATAAATTAAGATCATAAATTTTAACGAGTGCAATATGTCCAAACTAGACTTTTTATGGTCTCCATGTGTCTAGTCATTTCAGAAGGCGTAGTCCTCTTTATGAGAAGTTGCAAATGAGCTACAGGGTTGTAATTCTCTGACTCAAAACATGTAATTCCTTCCAGGAAAGAGTATTTTGCTTGGAAAAGCTTATGGAGTTGATGACACGGTAAGTGTCTTATCAAAGAAGAGTTAGTTTGAGAGGGTCGATGGGATCCAAATGCAGATCATCAAATACCGTTGAGAAGCTGTAAGAGTCACCGAATAAAATGCATTTTCTTAAAAAAATTCAATTATTCCCTCCCTCCCATTTTACGTGAAGGGGCTTGATGGTTATGGAATTTACAAAAGAAAAAATGATTATGCTGCGATCAACCAAAAATTGTGGTTTCAAACATGCCATGAGATATTTGTGGCTATAAAATCATGTCATTAAGGGTAAAATGGGGATTCTGTGATAAAAATTGTTTCCAAAGAGGTGGGACTGACTAAAAAGAAAAGAGTGACATAAAATAGGATGGAGGGAGTATTATTGTTGTTCTTATTTATCAAAATATACCTGAATGAACAAGTGAAAGCAACCATTAAGTATGAAAACATTAGTGAAGCCTCACTGAATGAATTTGATGCCAAGGATGTGGTTTTGCTCGCTGGTCATTTTGGTCTAATATTGGATTTATAGTCAGGACCTCTTACATCTCGTTGCGTGTAGGACTACGTTGTTCCACACTTTGGCTCAAGAGCACGTGGTGATCCTCCTAGCTCAAGGAGGCATCTAATCTTTTTGTACTCTAGGTATGTGTCCTGTTTGTATGCGTAGGCTTGAGCACACTGAATTAAAATTCGCCAAGCTTAGACGTTTTTTCAAGACTTGAACTTTTTCCAATTGAATTTGGTCTCATCCTTCTTTGGAAATGTTAAACTCAGATTAAACTAAAACTTTTCTCATATTGGAGTCGAGGTAAAAAAACATGAAATAACAGATTAGTGGAAAGCTAAAACATAAAATAAACTGGAATGTGGAAAGTCATATTCCTGTTGTGTATACTTTTGTATGTCTAACTTAATACTAGAGGAGTTAAGTACGGTAATTCCTGTGGTTAAATTGTTCGGTTGGATTTGGAGATTGCGAGGTCCTTAATTGGTACTATAGCCTCTCTGCATTCATCATGAACTATTCTTTGGGACTGTTTTGTTCAATTTGTGTTTTTAACTGCAATTTTATCACTAGTTCATGTGGTCTTACTTCCTTCTTGTGATGCTACATATCATTGCAGAGGATCTTCCTGTTTTTGCACTTCAAGATGATAGGATAGTTGAAGTAGTAGGGGAGCCTGCAAGTGTACACAAGGCAGTTGAGTTAATTGCTAATCACTTGAGGAAATTTTTGGTTGATCGCAGCATAATCCCAGTATTTGAGATGCAAGTAAGCCTCATTTCAATTAGAAATTTTTAGGACTGTATCTTAGCATCTTTTGATGGATAATGAACTTATTTATTGTCTAGATGCAAATGCCAAATCCACCAGTGGAACACATGCCACCTCCACAGTCTTGGGGTCCTCCTCCCCAAGCTTTCCCCCCAAGCGCTGCTGGAGGTCCGGGATATGGATCTAATCCTCATTTCATGCCACCACCATCAAGGCAACATGATAGTTATTACCCTCCAGCTGACATGCCACCATCGAGGCAACATGATAGTTATTATGCTCCAGTTGACATGCCACCTCCACTGGAGAAACAACCTCATCAGGGAATTTCTGCATATGGAAGAGAAGCTCCAATGTCAATGCATTCATCATCAAACAACACAGCCGCACCGTCTCTGATTACTCAGGTATGTTCTGTTACTCTAAGCACACTGAGTCAGTATTTAAAGAGAAATGGGTGGGATTTTGTGTTAATGCACTTTGTTAAGCTTCTTATTGTTGTTTTACCCGAGGAGAATAGTTCATTAGTTTTGAAATTAGCTACAGCTTCAACTCTACATGTCCATCTTTCCCACCATTCTGTTGAAAGAAACCAAAAGGCTGGCAGTCATTCACTAAAAGACAGGTGGGAATTACCAAAAAAGGGAAAATTGCTACACACCCTATATGCACTTCAGTAATAGGTATCAAATTGTATTGGGTGATACCTTGATGCAATCTGGATGCACTATAGTGCAGGTTATTTAGCGAAGCAAGAAATGCATAAGCTGTAGGGTAGCTTTTGTATATTCCCAGGCAGTTCTGTTAACCATGGCTAGTCGGGCAACTCCTAGCTTTACTTGAGAAGTACTCCCTGCCGGGTTTTTTGGAGTTAGAGGATCAACATAACTAATTTTCTGTTTGACTTTGGACATACATTTCTTAATTTTGGAAAAAGAAAATTTGCTTGATTGGAGATTTTGTTAATGTACTTATAAATCACAATTCTATAGTTAAAATATTTTTATTTGTTTGAGAAAATTGTAGTTGAAGAAAATTTTGACTTCCGAAATAGTAATAGGTGTTACTCTGATGTGATACAGGGAGAACATATTTTAGGACTCATTTTGTAACTTGTGTCGCTTCCAATAATTTTCACTCATTTAGTGACGTGTCGCTTCCAATCTTAATCATTGTTTTCGTCCATTTTTCCCCGCAAAGACTGCTCCATCAGTTACTTGATCTTATAGGCTTCTTTTTGCCTGCTCTTGTATCGTTTGATTTCTTGTTTCTCCGAGCTTCTTTTGTGACCTCTGTTGGTACTTTGTTGGTTAAACAAACTTGATTTCCTGATGTATCATGGTTTTCTTTTAGCATTTTTTGAGATGTTAGGGCTTGTAATGGCGTTGTTGTTTCCAGTTGGTGCCAATCTGAATCACTGCATTATGCACAAATAGCATATATCCTTGGCCTTACACTGATACTTTATTAAATTGGATACTTAGCTGAGAATTAAGGATTGCCCTTCAGAAATATTTTTAGGTTGCAAAAATATTGGCAATTTATATGCAAGACATCCTAAGCAAACCTAATATGGTCACGATGAAGTGCTAGTAAACAAAATGAGAAAAAAAAAGATATTCATGTGCGAGTTTTTGCTTGTTCTGAGGGCATAGTTTTGCAGATTACACAGCATATGCAGATCCCATTGTCCTATGCTGATGCTGTGATTGGAACAAATGGTGCGAGCATAAGCTACATCCGGCGGGTTAGTGGTGCTACTGTTACCATACAGGAAACAAGGGGAGTTCCTGGGGAGATGACTGTTGAGATCAGTGGAACTGCTTCTCAAGTCCAAACAGCACAACAATTGGTACAGGTAAAATTCTTGCTTCACTTGTCATAGGATTTAAACTCTTTTTTCCCTCTGGTATGTGCATATGCCTATGAGTTTCTGTTGAGGCAGTGCAAAATGCCAGTCTTTTATTTTTCCATTTGACTTTTGGTTTAGCCAATATCCGTGCTTCTCATAGCCTATCTTGAAATGTATTTGTTTATTCTTCATTTGTGTGTCGTAGAATTTCATGGCAGATGCAGGGGCGCCTCAGGCACAGACAGCTCCACCAGCTGACCAAGGCTACAACTCCTATGGAGCTCCTCCTACTTCTATGTATTCATCTGCCCCTACAAATCCAGGCGTTCCAGGTCAATCAGGGGGCTATGGTTCAGTGTATGGTACCAACTATGGCTATTGAGCTGGACCCTTTTGCATTTCATTTGGTGAACAAAACTAATAATCCTTTCATCAGAGTGCTTTGTACTGTTGTACCTTCATTTAGGCCTAGTGACATGGAACTCCTATAGGTAGAGAGTATATGCATTAGGCTCGTCACAACGATGTACCTACCAAATGTCTATTTCATTTTTCTCCTGATTTGTCTCTATCTCACCTTCCTACTTTTTCCAAGACTAATATGATCTTTAACACTGAATATTTTCATATTTGCTCGGTTAGCTGCCACAGCGCTCAAGGATTTAAAAAATTATGACTCTACATGGTGTTCGAGGATGTTTGGCGGTTTCTCTGTGCAACTAGTATTGCAGCTGCGTAAACACAAATAGTTGGGATTGTATAAAAGTCGTCCTTACAGAAGTACTTCTCCCTTGGGGCATTGGGCTGGTCACAGGCGATCATATCAGTGTTAACAGAAGAAGAGAAAGAATAAGTAATGAGGTAGAGGGTAAAACTAATGAAACATGCTCTGCTTTATGGACTATTATTTTTTTTCTTTAAAATTTGAAGCAGCCATCCATATTGTAGATGAAATAACAAAGAAAGCTCTTTTACATGAGTATCATATTATGTTCTGATGGAACAAAATGGCTTCTACAGCTATTTAAGGCTACATCGGATGTAATATAATAAGATCCCATAAACTTTCAATTGAACCCAACAGTATATGGCGTTTGGCATTGATGTTTTTTTTTTGGATAATAACTGTAAAATATTACGATTAACAACCAAATAATACACCTAGAATCTACCTTCTAACTTTTCTTAATTTACGGAAAACATGTGGGTTTGATTTTTCAAAAACAAATACCTTTTCTTTTTGGCTGTTCTTGGTGAATATTTTCAAATACGTGTCAAATCCAAACTCGGCAAGTCATGACCTATACCAAGTCATAAGACAAGTCCAAAGGTTTTAGAGTTCAAATCTCTGTTCCCTCGTTTTTTTTTTTGGAAGTAGAGTTTGAAACTTGGCCCAAAGAGAGAATAATATCAAGGATGCACATGTCTACTTGGCCCATTATATTCTATTTTTGCTGATCCCACAGCTCTCACAGACTGTTTTTAGATGGTGGCCGTATGGAATAATGAAGCCTTTCACTCTGCTTGCTAATTTGGCTGGACCAAGCCCTTAGACAGAGATAGCAGAAGGCAATACCCATTGCATCAACATAAGAGCGCGCCCACAAACATAAAAGCAAACCCATCAAAAAACTGCCCCCAAAAATAAAAAATAAGTATTACGATAAAGGTAAATTTGATAATAAACAAGCTCGTCTTTTGCCAACCTATAATGCAACAGCACCCGTCTTACTTTCTGCACAATATCAAATTTGTCGCATCTCCACATTTTATTCTATTCATAACCTGAATAAAGCATCACGAAACAGGAGATGACCAGTTCCCAACCTAAGACTCTTGTTTGGAGCATACTTTCATATTCTGTGAAGAGAAAGAGTACAGAAAGAAAGCCAACAAAAGAGACCTACATTCAAGCTGATGCTCAAAATTTGAGTTTATTGGGCCGTAATGTATGACAAATCAAACCAACAGAAAACCCCCAGAGAAAAACACACATTGCTCACTTGTTTGAAGGTGCTTTCTCCTGCTTCCGCTCTGGCTTAAGGAACGGGTCCTGCAAGTTAACATTTGAATAAAACACATCAAACGAAGAAGGCAGCCAAATATTAACTCCACCTTTATAATAGTAATACATAGCAATCAAAAAGCAGAAAGCGCATTAGACAACTTCTTAGCAACCAAATAAGGAAACACAATAGAAAACTTGCAGCAAAAGAAAGCACACTATGTTATACTCAGTTATTTATCTATCAATGAATAACACTTCCTGACACCAAATTTTATAACAGAAAGCAGCAATATATATTATCTTTTGCCCATGAGATTTTAAGTTTTTAACTGAGAAAAGGAGTTTGCCACTAGCTTATAGAGTCTACAACAATGAAACAAAAAGTTGTCACCTTCAATTCATTCCATCACGCACCTCACCTCCTCTCCCCACCCCAGGGGGAGGGAAAGAAGGTGGGTAGTCACCTCCATTTTTTCATCTCCTAAATATATACTTGCTCCATGACAAGTTCCTTTACACCTTTTAATAGCACATCTTCAGGCTACATCAGTGTATGTACCTTTAGGCTGCAGCTTAACAGAGACCAGTATCCAAGTTATTAAAACTCACAGACTGCCTTGCTTGCTGTATTTCCCTTTTTTGTTTTTCCATTATTGACGAGGTTGCCATTTTAGTAGAATAAAAGTAGGCACTGGATTAATGATAGAAACCCTACATTTAACCCATGGGTGACTTTTGCCTTACATCTCGGACACAGCAGTACTGTTCCACGGTCTCACATGACTGAAAATTAACAATAATTGCAAGATTTTGCAGAAAGAAATAGGTGAACTGAGCAACTGACTATCACTTTTCTTTTAATAATGATAACTGACCACCACTTATCGTTGGGCTATCAAGATGTTGACTGTTGATTAAACAGTAGCAAAGGACAAAAGAGTTGCAGTAATAAGTAGGAAGACTAGTAGAATGTTTCAGAAACAACGAAAAAGTAGAAGCAGAAGATAGTCCAGCAGGGTCAGGCGTAGCTCAAGGTTGAATAGCGAAAGCAAACCAAACTTCCGCAGGATCAGAAGAAAACGCACATCTATAAACAAAAAAAATGGAAATTTTCTCATAATCCTACTAAAACTTAAGCTTCTTCTTCTTAAGGCTTCCTCCTTTTATCCTATGGCCTTCTATTCACAGATGAGCAAATAGTAACTTGGTCTAGTAATGGAGATTGGGCATCCCTTTTAATAACTTTTCTCCTATCTCATTATTTTTTTTTTGATGAAGTCTTTTCTCTTATCTCATTATTATACATAGGCCTAATCAAGTAAGACAGCATGGTACTTGTTCTGAAAATAAGGTGAGACACATCATACATCCATAACAAGACATGATTTCTATATTTATATGACCTAGGATTATTTAAGCTCCCAATTCTGCTCATTCAACAGATATGAGCTGAAATTCAGCTGAAAACTACTCGAACAAGCTCAAACCCAATCTGAATCCAACAACAACATATTTACTTGAGGTGAAAGGATTCAGAAAGAGGCAGAAAAGTAAATAGGACCATTATTTCATAAGGAGTAAAATTAGAGGGGTTGGGCAGCTATATCAGCCCATTTGAAATAGGATCTATTGAAAAAATGCATATGTCCCTCACTTCCCTTACACTTGTAAAGCAAGTGGAAGCAAAAGTATATTATTAGGAATATACGACTATGATTGTCTTTCTCCTTTCCATTCCCTCTCGTTCGTGGAGTTGGAACCAAATGCAGAGCAAAGCTAGATAATTTGAGTAGCTCATTTATAGCCTCAATCCCAGTCTATGAACAAAAATAAATTCTAAATCCATTCACCTCCCCAGCTACCACTGTTTTCTCCACACCCAAGACAAGCTATTAACCAGACGAAAAAGCCATCCCCCTGTAAATTTTCTTTTACAGGTTGAAGAGTTTTTACGGCTCTGCCAGCAGTTCAGCTTATCTGTAGACTTTGCACACAATGAACTATAAATGAGGTTCACCTCCACACGTTTGTGTTGTTAAGTTACATATATTGGATATGGGTGCTTCCCTCAAAGTAAAGTTTAACACACCCAAGCGCTTTTCTTTTCTTGGGGAAATTGGGGGGTTTGAAGTT